GGAAAACAACCCACGTTTAGCATGTTAAATGGCATTTAATCCCTTAACTCTGAATAAATCAAAGAAATTGTTTTTAAAAAATATAAGCATGCAGGGAAGAACAATTAACAGAGAAGGTTTCTGTATGATTTCTTCCAAACTTTTAAGACATAAATTCCTCTTTAGGCTTGGAGAAAAATTAGACATATGGTAAGTTATAAGTTATAATTTTACACATCTATTTTATTGAGATATAACTCACATACAATAAAATGAACCCACTTGCAGTGTATGGTTCGGTGTTTGATGAGTTTCGACGGCTGCATACACTTGTGTAATCTCTTCTCCAATAAGACTTGGAACATCTCCATCACCCTAGAAAGTTCTCTCTTGCTCTTTCCCAGTCAACCCCCTCCCTGCTCTGCAACTACCACCCTTATCACTAGAGGGTTCTTAGCCTGTTTTATTTTTCAGCCTTTTGTATTGGAATTGCACTCATCTCACACGCTAGTGAAGTGATGCTCAAAATTCTCCAAGCCAGGCTTCAGCAATACGGGAACTGTAAACTTCGAGATGTTCAAGCTGGTTTTAGAAAAAGCAGAGGAACCAGGGATCAAATTGCCAACATTCGGTGGCTCACTGAAAAAGCAAGAGAGTTCCAGAAAAACATCTGTTTCTTCTTCATTGACTATGCCAAAGCCTTTGACTATGTGGATCACAGTAAACTGTGGAAAATTCTGAAAGAGATGGGAATACCAGACCACCTGACCTACCTCTTGAGAAACCTGTATGCAGGTCAGGAAGCAACAGTTAGAACTGGACATGGAACAACACACTGGTTCCAAATAGGAAAATGAGTATGTCAAGGCTGTATATAGTCACCCTGCTTATTTAACTTCTATGCAGAGTACATCATGAGAAACGCTGGGCTGGAAGAAGCACAAGATGGAATCAAGAAACCCGGGAGAAATGTCAATAACCTTATATGCAGATGACACCACCCTTGTGGCAGAAAGTGAAGAAGAACTAAAGAGGCTCTTGATGAATCTGAAGGAGGAGAGTGAAAAAGTTGGCTTAAAGCTCAACATTCAGAAAACTAAGATCATTGCTTCCGGTCCCATCAGTTCAGTTCAGTTCAGTCACTCAGTCGTGTCTGACTCTTCGCAACCCCATGAATTGCAGCACGCCAGGTCTCCCTGTCCATCACCAACTCCTGGAGTCCACCCAAACCCATGCCCATCGAGTCAGTGATGCCATCCAGCCATCTCATCCTCTGTCGTCCCCTTCTCCTCCTGCCTCCAATCCCTCCCAGCATCAGGGTCTTTTCCAATGAGTCAGCTCTTCCCGTCAGGTGGCCAAGGTACTGGAGTTTCAGCTTCAGGATCAGTCCTTCCAATGAACACACAGGACTGATCTCCTTCAGGATGGACAGTGTGGATCTTCTTGCAGTCCAAGGGACTCTCAAGAGTCTTCTCCAACACCACAGTTCAAAAGCATCAATTCTTCAGCACTCAGCTTTCTTTATAGTCCAACTCTCACATCCATACATGACCACTGGAAAAACCATAGCCCTGACTAGACAGATGTTTGTTGGCAATGTAATGTCTCCGCTTTTAAATATGCTATCCAGGTTGGTCATAACTTTCCTTCCTAGGAGTAAACGTCTTTTAATTTCATGGCTGCAATCACTATCTGCAGTGATTTTGGAGCCCAAAAAAATAAAGTCTGACACTGTTTCCCCATCTATTTCCCATGAGGTTATGGGACCAGATGCCATGATCTTAGTTTTCTGAATGTTGAGCTTTAAGCCAATTTTTTCCTCTCTCCTCCTTCACTTTCATCAAGAGACTCTTTAGTTCTTCTTCACTTTCTGCCATAAGGGTGGTGTCATCTGCATATCTAAGGTTATTGATATTTCTCCCGGCAATCTTGATCCCAGCTTGTGCTTCTTCCAACCCAGCGTTTCTCATGATGTACTCTGCATATAAGTTAAATAAGCAGGGTGACAATATACAGCCTTGACATACTCATTTTCCCATTTGGAACCAGTCTGCTGTTCCATGTCCAGTTCTAACTGTTGCTTCCTGACCTGCATACAGGTTTCTCAAGAGGTAGGTCAGGTGGTCTGGTATTCCCATCTCTTTCAGAATTTTCCACAGTTTATTGTGATCCTCACAGTCAAAGGCTTTGGCATAGTCAGTAAAGCAGAAATAGATGTTTTTCTGGAACTCTCTGGCTTTTTCAATGATCGAGTAGATGTTGGCAATTTGATCTCTGGTTCCTCTGCCTTTTCTAAAACCAGCTGGAACATCTGGAAGTTCACGGTTCACATATTGCTGAAGCTGGCTTGGAGAATTTTGAGCATTACTTTACTAGTGTGTGAGATGAGTGCAATCATGCGGTAGTTTGATCATTCTTTGGCATTGCCTTTCTTTGGGATTGGAATGAAAACTGACCTTTTGCAGTCCTGTGGCCACTGCTGAGTTTTCCAAATTTGCTGGCATATTGAGTGCAGCACTTTCACAGCATCATCTTTCAGGATTTGAAAGAGCTCAACTGGAATTCCATCACTTCCACTAGCTTTGTTCGTAGTGATGCTTTCTAAGCCCAGTTGACTTCACATTCCAGGATGTCTGGCTCTAGATGAGTGATCACACGATTGTGATTATCTGGGTTGTGAAGATCTTTTTTGTACAGTTCTTCTCTGAATTCTTGCCACCTCTTCTTAATATCTTCCACTTCTGGTCCCATCACTTCATGGGAAATAGATGGGGAAACAGTGGAAACAGTGACTGACTTTATTTTTGGGGGCTCCAAAATCACTGCAGATGGTGATTGCAGCCTTGAAATTAAAAGATGCTTACTCCTTGGAAGGAAGGTTATGACCAACCCAGACAGCATATTAAAAAGCAGAGACATTACCTTGCCAACAAAGGTTCATGTAGTCAAGGCTATGGTTTTTCCAGTGGTCATGTATGGATATGAGACTTGGACTATTAAGAAAGCTGAGTGCTGAAGAATTGATGCTTTTGAACTGTGGTGTTGAAGAAGATTCTTGAGAGTCCCTTGGACTACAAGGAGATCTAGCCAGTCCATTGTAAAGGAGATCAGTCCTGGGTGTTCATTAGAAGGACTGATGTTGAAGCTGAAACTCCAATATTTTGGCCACTTCATGCGAAGAGCTGACTCATTTGAAAAGACCCTGATGTTGAGAAAGATTGAAGGAGGAGAAGGGGACGACAGAGGATGAGATGGTTGGATGGCATCACTGACTCAATGAACATGGGTTGCGTGGACTCCAGGAGTTGGTGATGGACAGGGAGGCTTAGCGTGCTGGGGTTCATGGGGTCATAAAGAGTTGGACACGACTGAGCAATTGAACTGAACTGATAGCCAATTAACTGCAGGAAGAAATGGCAACCCACTCCGGTATTATTGCCTAGAAAATTCCATGGACAGAGGAGCCTGGTGGGCTACAGACCACAGGGTCACAAGGGTCGGACACGGCTAAGTGACTAAACAACAACAACAATTATAGCCAATTAACAAACAATGTCGTGATAGGTTCAGGTGAAAAGCGAAGGAACTCAGCCATACATAAACAGGTATCAATTCTCTCCCAAACTCCCCTCCTGTCCAGGCTGCCGCACAACACTGAGCAGAGTCCCCTGTAGGTTTCGCCTGGTTTAGAACTTCAGGGTTCTCCAGGAGGAACAGAGCCAATTGGATATATGAGACACATTAAGAGACTTATCTTAAGGAAACAGCTCACTTGATCACAGGAGCTCGCACGTCTGAAATCCGTATGGCAGTCTGGAAACTCACACAACAGGGGATGTTGCAGTCTTGCGGCAGAATTTCTTCCCTGAGAAACCTCAGTATTTGTTCATAAAGTTTTCAACTGATGGGGTGAGGTCCACCTACATCACCAGGGGTCACCTTCTTCCCTTAAAGTCAGTTGATCCCAGGTGTTAACCACACCTACGAAATTTCTTCACAGTAACACCTAGATTCCCGTGTGACTTAATCCTGGTCCTATGCCCTAGTGAAGCAGATACAGAAGACCCGGATCATCCTGCAGACGGAATCACACTCATCTGCTCTTCTGTGTCTGGGTCCTTTCCTTCTGTGTAAAGTTTCTGAGTCGTCCCTGTTTGTCTCAGTAGTAGGTTCCCTATTATTAGTATTCTCTGGTATGAATACAGTAAGTTAGGTTCTAATACACACCAGGCATTTCACAATTTAGCCATGAGATCTACAAATAATAAAACAGGAAAATTGCTTTGTGATGCCCAGGGACTTGTAAACACCAGTTAGACTCCACCAGAGTAACTGGCTGGATATTTAAAGTTCACTGGCATTATACAGCAGAATGGTTTAAAGTCTCTTAATATCAGCTGAAGCACAATGGGACACAAAGGAGGCGGCTCACCCCTTTCAGGAAAACGTTCATTTTGTGTTGTGTTTGTTGTTTTAGGATTTTAATTTAGTGGCAGCTAATTAACCAAAGAATACAGTCTAAACTAAAACTAATTCTCTTGTGGTCACTTCAAAAAATTTCTCTTCAACATGCATTAAAGCAATTGCACATAGGAGAGTCTGAGAGTGAACTTGGGTTTCCAACTGCCCAGGCAAAGGTCAGCTAAATCTGTCAGTTGAAGAGGAGGCTACGGCCCGCTTCTCCTCTCCGCTCACAAAGGACTGCTGCTCCTCACGGCCTTCTCTCTTCTCCGACTTCCCTTCAGCCCTCTCATAGCAGGCCGCACTAGTCCCCCAGAGTGCCGGCTCCCAGGTCAGTGACAGCACTCACACGGCCACAGCCACACGGCTCTCCCTCGGAGCTCCTTCCGCGGGGTTTGCGGGCGGGCCCCTCCCCGCCCTGTCTGGGCTCCTGGTCCTCCCACACGGCTCCTCCGGGCTCTGATCTCAGTCCTCTCCTCCATCTGCCCTCCCTACTAGGGTGAGGGGCTCACCAGGCCCTTCTGGCTTGAAATGCCTCTACCTGCCAGGGCCTCCGGAGTCTACGCCTCCAGGGCCTCCTTCCCCAAGGCCCCAGGCCTGTACCGGCACCCTTTGCGGCCACTCCACAAGTTCACGACCAGCCTCTCAATCAGCCTGCACACCCGCACAGCCCGGCCGCTGCCATCTCGGGGCCAGAAAATGCCCTCGTACCGGGCACTCAGACCAAGGAGTACAGTGTCCTTGAGTCCCTGCTCCCTCACACTGCACCTACTCCACCGCAGCCCCAAGTGCTCCGCCTTCAAAATGCCGATCTCTGATGTCTGACCAGTTCTCAAGTCCACGCCGTATGATCGCCACATCCACGATGGCTCAACCCTCGCCGCCTGCCTGGCCGACCTTGGCTCCCTGCAGTGTAATCTCCGCAGCGCAGTCACAGTGGCCCTGTTACATGCCAGGTCACCCATGACCCTTCTCTGCTCATGGCCCCACAGCGTCCTATCTTGCCTGGGCTCCATCCCACCTCCCGCACTCGCTCCTCCCAGGACAGCGAGGCTTGCTCCCTCATCCTCCTGAGGTCTTCTCGAGGCACCCCGTTTAAAACCACCACCCTCCCAACAGGCACTCCCGCGTGATCCTACCCCCTCTGTTTTCCTGCCCAACTCCATCTGACCTACTACATGTTTTGCTATATTCCTGTTATTTTCTGTATCCCTAAACCAAGATGCATCCGCCTGCAACGCAGGAGACCCCAGTTCGGTTCCTGGGTCAGGGAGATCTGCTGGAGAAGGGAGAGGCTACCCACTCCACTGTTCTTGGATTTCCGTTGTGTCTCAGCTGGTAAAGAATCTGCCTGCAATGCAGCAGCCCCCCAGTTCGATTCCTGGGTCAGGGAGATCTGCTGGAGAAGGGAGAGGCTACCCACTCCACTATTCTTGGGCTTCCCTTGTGTCTCAGCTGGTAAAGAATCTGCCTGCAATGCAGGAGACCTGGGTTTGATCCGGGGGTTGGGAAGACGCCCTGGGGAAGGGAAAGGCTACCCACTCCAGTATTCTGGCCTGGAGAATTCCATGGACCTTATAGTCCATGGGGTCACAAAGAGTCGGATACGACTGAGGGACCTTCACTCACTCAAACCAAGACGTGCACTCCCTGAGGGCAGGCATTTGCTCTGTTTATCTTCGTGCCTTCTGGGACATCAGCAGTGTAGCACACAGCCTGAGCTAATCAAAAAGTACTATTTGCGGACAAATGTTCCTGATGTAGGAGGACCATCTTCTAGCGGTGCCACACGGTCATCACCAGCTTTACAATATCACTTAAAGTTATGGTTTCGGACACATAAACCCCACAAATGAATAATCTCTGCACAGGCCACAGAAAACACACCCACGAATGAAGGAAGGCTGGGCCACGTTACACTGCAACACCACTTCCCCAAGGTCGTCCACTGACGGGGGCACGGAGGCCGAAGGAACCCAGGCAGACCAGGCTGCCGTCAAAGGTGGACACCGACCTCCGGGCGCGGAGCCCGGTGCGCGAGGAGTGAGCCAGCGGCCGGCAAGATGCCCTCAGGCGAGGGATGCCCTGGGTGGGCCAGGCGGGCCCAGGGCCGTTTCGCGGCCTGCAAAGCTGCCCAGAGGGGCGGAGGGCCAGCAGCAGCCCCGCGGTGGACCTTCAGGGCAGCGCCAGGCTTCGAGGCCCGAGGCTGCACGCCAGCTCCAGCGCCCGCGGCGGCCCCGAGTCCTCGCTTCAGGGGAGCCTCCCGGCGGCCCCGCCCCCTCCCGGGCCTGAGGAGGCGGGGACAGTGACGTCATCGCGCTGAGCGCCATTTTGGAAAGGGATTAAAAATCCCGCGGCGGCGGCGGCGGCCGGGCCGAGGTGCTTGGGCGGCGGCGACGCTGCGGCCGCGGCGGGTGAGGGCCCCGCTGCGCGGGGACGGGAGCGCCTGAGGGGCGCGGGCGGGGGCCCTGGGCTCACGCGCCCGGCGTTTCCGCGGTAGCCGGAGCCGGCAGCTGCCCGGCGGGCGGCATCCACTTGCCGTGGTGCTTCTCGCAGGTCCAGGGGGCCGTGGACAGGACCGGCGGAAGGTGAGGGCGCGCGCCTGGCGCCCCCGGGCGCTCGGAGTCCGGCCCGCCGCGGGGAGGCGGCCCCGGGATTACCTGAGGAGCCCAGGGTCAGCCTCCGAGCCCGAGGGCCCCCGGGTCACTCCGCTGCGGGCGGCTGCCCCCTGCGCTGGGCCGACCGCTCCGGGCGTCCCGTCCGTCCCTCCCCCTCCTCCAGTGATGCGGTGTAAAGCTCCCACTCCAGGTTAGGGCGGATTACTTGAAGCCGCGTGGTCTTTCCCTTAGTCCAGGCGCAGAGCTTTAGGCGCGGGACGCTTCCCGCCGCCTTGTGTGTCGTCTCAGACTCTCCCCTGGTGCGCAGGGGCGCGGTTTAACTGGAGTCGTGTAGTGACCGTGTTGTGTGCGACCACGTTTTTCAACCTAGGGAACCTTCAGTTCAGTCCAGTCACTCAGTCGTGTCCGACTCTGCGACCCCGTGGACTGCAGCACGCCAGGCCTCCCTGTCCATCACCAACTCCCGGAGCTTGCTCAAACTCATGTCCATCCAGTCGGTGATGCCATCCAACCACCTCATCCTCTGTCGTCCCCTTCTCCCACCTTCAGTCTTTCCCAGGGTCTTTTCAAATGAGTCATTTCTTCGCATCAGGTGGCCAGAGTATTGGAGCTTCAGCTTCATCATCAGTCCTTCCAATGAATATTCAGAACTGATCTTCCTTAGGATGGACTGGTTGGATCTCCTTACAGTCCAAGGGAGTCTTTTGCAACACCACAGTTCAAAAGCATCAATTCTTCGGCGCTCAGCTTTCCTTATAGTCCAGCCTTTAGGTTTCTCTTTAAAAAGTGTGTGTCCTTCCGTGAAGTATACCTTCTTTGCCCCAAGGAACTAACAGCCTCTGTTCAGGTGTCTGGTCCCTTTCCTCCACCTCGGCCCCCTCCCATGACCTTCGGCTCAGTCCTTCACTCTGCACCTCTCCGGAGTAGAGTGACATCTGGACATCCTTGGCCTCGGAGCGAAACAGTGCCTAGATTACTAAGCAGGTAAAACTGTGCTTGGGACGTTTGTGCAGATGTATATGATTTGAGATCGAATTGTTTCTTTGTATTCGTTTAACGCATTTTTCATTTGCAGTCTCAAATGGGTAACTTCAGCTTACTGAAAATTGCTTTTGGGAGTAAAGCAAAACCCGTTTGTTTATAGCTAGAGAGGTGGGAGGGCTTACTGTCTGTCTTAACTTCCGGTTTCTTCCCTTTTTAAAAGAAGGTTTAGTTGATAAGCTGAGTGAATTAAAATTTAAGTCTAACAAAAACGGTCTGTTTTAAGTGTTGCTGTTATACTTTGAAAATGGTATTTTTACTTTTAAAAATCTTCACAAAAATATTTTGTTTTCTTAACTAAACTGACTTTTTTCCCAATATTAAACCCCTACTTTAACTAAAATTTTGAATATATCTAAAAGGTTTATATTTTGAGTTTTCTATTTTCTTAGATCACTTTGTGGTAATTACCTACTTTTTTTTTCTTTTTGCTTGTTGCATGTGTTCAAAGCTTTCTGTTTTACTTCACATAACACTTTGGTTTCAGTGACCCTTCAGGGCTAACATTGATAACATTCATCATTTTATCGAGTAGCTGTGACACTGTTTGACTTGTATCGTTATCGTGAAAGTCCGTGAGACAGGAAGACAAAGTAGTGTGGTGATTGTTAAGCAACCAGAATTAAGAAGCCAAGTCGGTCCTGAAGCTGGTTGTGCCCAGACTCAGTCTTGGTGAAGAAATGTTGATTGTTGTTGTTCAGAGCACGCTCGGCTTCTCTGTCCCTCACCATCTCCCAGAATCTGCCCAAGTTCATGTCCAGTGAATCAGTGATGCCATCCAACCATCTCATCCTCTGTCGCCCTCTTCTCCTTCTGCCTTCAATCTTTCCCAGCATCAGGGTTTTTTCCAGTGAGTCAGCTGTTTGCATCAGGTGGCCAAAGTGTTGGAGCTTCTGCTTCAGCCCTTTCAAAGAGTATTCAGGATTGATTTCCTTTAAGATTGACTGGTTTGATCTCCCTGCTGTCCAAGGGACTCTCAAGAGACTTCTCCAGCACTAGAGTTCAAAAGCATCAATTCTTCGGTGCTTTGCCTTCTTTATTGTCCAGCTGTCATATCCATACATGACAAATGGAATGACATGTTGACTATACGGACCTTTGTTGGCCAAGTGGTAGCTTTGCTTTTTAACACACCATCTAGGTTTGTCATAGCTTTCCTGCCAAGAAGCAGTCCTTTCCTAATTTTCATGGCTGCAGTTACCATCTGTGGTGATTTTAGAGCCCAAGAGGAAATCTGTCACTGCTTTCACCTTTCCCCCTTCTATTTGCCGTGAAGTGATGGGGCCAGATGCCATGATCTCAGTTTTTTTTTAATATTGAGTTTTAAATTGGCTTTTTCACTGCCTTCCTTCACACTCATCAAGAGGCTGTTTAGTTTCTCTTCACTTTCTGCCATTAGAGTGGTATTGTCTAAATATCTGAGGTTGTTGATATCTCTCCTGGCAGTCTTGATTCCAGCTTGTGACTCATCCAGTCTGGCATTTTGCATGATGTGCTCTGCATATGAGTTGAACAGGGCGACAGTAAACAGCCTTGTTTCTCCTTTCTCCAGTCAGTTCCACACAGGGTTCTAACTGTTGTGTCTCGACCCCCATACAGGTTTCTCAGGAGACAGGAAGATGGTCTGATATTCCCATCTCTTTAAGAGTTTTCCACAGTTTGTTATGATCCACACAGTCAAGGGCTGTAGTGGGTCAATGAAGTGACACTCAACCTTGGTGAAGAAATGTTGATGAGAGATGATTAATGGCAGATTCGTAGTTTAAGGGAGTTATTGTGCACTGATCCTTGGACTTTTGGACTAGAGGTGCAGTGAATTTATTTATTCAGATTGTGGCTGGTGAGTGTTTTGTTCTACTCCAAGCTCTACTTTGAAGAGTCCTCTGGTAACCTGAGAGTACGGAGGTCATTCTGCTTTCCGCTGCTGTGGGGGATGAGAAGGGGAGACTGAGGTGGACCTCTCCTGCGCTGAGTACGGGCAGCGCTGAGTGAGCATGAAGGTGCGGGGTGGTGTGGGCTCCCCTGATTTCTGAAGGCTGAAGGGTCAGTACAGTGGAGAGAAGCTTTTGATTTCCTTTTTGCTTTTGAAACTGTTAGTTTTGGGGGACACCTGAAGAAAGAATTATAATGTGTAAGATTTGATGGTGGCTTTTTTTTTAAAATAACAGGGTATTGTTTGTGGGACAGGTCAGCCATCATGCTCCCCTCAGGCAGGGATAGAGGTGGACTCAAGAGGAGCTAGTCAGTGTCTGCTGCTGGTGACAGGATATGTGAGTGACAGTCACTGGTGGCCTGCCCTCTCTCCTTCCCCTACGACAAGCTGGCCCTCGTGGTAGGCATCACCCCCGAAGGTGGAGTAGGTGAGCAGGCGTCAAAGTAACAAAGCCGGGGGAGACTTCCAGAAGGAAGTGAGGAGAGCTGTCAGCTCCTGGTCCAGGTCCTTACGCCCTAGACAGCGACTGCCCTTGGAAGGTTGTTCAGAACGGTGGCAGGTTCTTCACACGTGGTGCTGACTTGCCGCCTCCCAGCACTGTCCCTTCCCTTAGGCCACTGTCACCGCAGCCGTCTTTTGCAGGTGTCCCCCGTGTTACAGTTCTTCCCTTGTCCGTCTGCAGTACCATGCGCTCTACTTAAAGCTGGAGGGCTAGGTGCCCCCTCCCCCACCCCACCACCTTATAAAGCCGAGTCCCCAGGCGTTTTTGGCCTCAAAGGCCGGTTTTGTGGAAAACAGTGTTTCTGCAGACCAGGAGTGGGGGTGGGGTCAGGGTGATCCAAGCGTGTTACATTTATTGTGCACTTCATTTCTAACCTGATGCCATCACTGGTCTGACGCGAGGTACCAGTCCACGACCTGGAGGGTGGGACCCCTGTTGTAGAAGACCCAACCCAGAGGTAAAGATGGCTAACAGTTGTTGAGTCTCTTATGTTCCAGAGCTTGCTTCAGGTGCCTTGTGTCCATTCATCCAGTCTTCACCAGCCCTGGGAAGGAGGGGCTCTTGTTCTTCCCAGCTTTAGACAGGGAAGCCAAGGGACCGGGGCAGGTCACCTGGTCGGCAGGGCGGCCAGGCCAGGGTTTACAGCTGGCCGCCCGGCTCCAGAGCCCACGCCCGTGGCCTGTGTCAGCGGCCGTTTGTGGCCAGCACTGATGAAGCCCCCGCTGTGGGGTGTGGCTGCCCCACTTTGGGACTGCCCTGTCCTTCAAAAGCCCAGGAGAGATCTCCCCACCAAGAATTGTAGAAAGTGACCTCTGAAAGAAAATGGAAATGAGAGGTCTTTAAAGGAGGTGCCTATCAAAATGCTGTGAGCTGAGTAACAAGGGTTTCAGAGTGGTCATTCTCAAAGTCTGGGAGAACACGTGACACAGACACCTCAGACAGGTGCCAAGATAGCCTCTCCCGACCGCCCTCTCAGGACCACGGCTGTCCTGCAGGAGAGCTCTGGGTCTGCACTCAGCACATTCCTGATTTTCTGGAGGAACAGTGGGAAAGAGTCAGAGGAGGGGCTTGTCATGAACTGGTTCAGTTCAGTTTACTCGCTCAAGTCATGTCCAACTCTTTGCGACCCCATGAACTGCAGCATGCCAGGCCTCCCTGTCCATCACCAACTCTAGGAGTCTACCCAAACCTGTGTCCATTGAGGCGGTGATGCCATCCAGACATCTCATCCTCTGTCGTTCCCTTCTCCTCCTGCCTCCAATCCCTCCCAGCATCAGGGTCTTCTCCAATGAGTCAGCTCTTCCCGTCAGGTGGCCAAGGTACTGGAGTTTCAGCTTCAACATCAGTCCTTCCAGTGAACACCCAGGACTGATTTCCTTTAGGATGGACTGGTTGGATCTCCTTGCAGTCTAAGGGAATCTCAAGAGTCTTGTCCAACATCGCAGTTCAAAAGCATCAATGCTTTGGCACTCAGCTCTCTTTATAGTCCAACTTTCACATTCATACGTGACTAATGGAAAATCCATAGCCTTGATTAGACAGATGTTTGTTGGCAAAATAATATCTCTGCTTTTTAATATGCTGTCCAGGTTGGTCATAACTTTTCTTCCAAGGAGCAAGGGTCTTTTAATTTCATGGCTGCAATCACCATCTGCAGTGATTTTGGAGCCCCAAAAAATAAAGTCTCTCACTGTTTCCACTATTTCCCCATCCATTTCCCATGAAGTGATGGGACCGCATGCCATAATCTTAGTTTTCTGAACGTTGAGCTTTAAGCCAGCTTTTTCACTCTCCTCTTTCACTTTCATCAAGAGTCTCTTTAGTTCTTCACTTTCTGCCATAAGGGTGGTGTCATCTGCATATAAGGTTATTGATATTTCTCCTGGCAGTCTTGATTCCAGCTTGTGCTTCCTCCAGCCCAGCGTTTCTCATGATGTACTCTGCATAGAAGTTAAATAAGCAGGGTGACAATATCCAGCCTGACATACTCCTTTCCCTATTTGGAACCAGTCTGCTGTTCCATGTCCAGTTCTAACTGTTGCTTCCTGACCTGCATAAAGATTTCTCAAGAGGTAGGTCAGGTGGTCTGGTATTCCCATCTCTTTCAGAATTTTCCACAGTTTATTGTGATCCACACAGTCAAAGGCTTTGGCATAGTCAGTAAAGCAGAAATAGATGCTTTTCTGAAACTCTTGCTTTTTTGATGATCCAGCAGATGTTGGCAATTTGATCTTTGGTTCCTCTGCCTTTTCTAAATCCAGCTTGAACATGTGGAAGTTCACGGTTCACATATTGTTGAAGCCTGACTTGGAGAATTTTGAGCATTACTTTACTAGCATGTGAGATGAGTGCAATTG